TGGCTCCTGGCCAGGCCCTGGGCCAGCGTCAGTCTGCCTGGCTGGCTCTCCAGACCCTGTGCTGAAGGACGGGGCAGGGGCTTTTCGTCCCCAGGGTCTGACAGCTGCCCTGCCCGGTGCTCCGGGCGCCTTCATTCCAAACCTCCGAGTGCGTCCCCCAAGGGCCGGCCGTGCGTGGGGCAGGGATGCCCACACCGGCCGGCCGCAGGGCACGCTAAGAGGACCCAGGGGCGCAAGTCACATGAGGCCAGGCCACGCATCACACTCAGCACCAGCCCCCTCTGGAGCAGGGGTCAGATTAGGGAAAAGAGATCAGGGTTAGCACTGGCTCCAGGGGGCAGAGCGCCCCTCCCCTGCTCCCGGCAGGGGTGGGGGAGGCAGTCTTTACTCACACGGGATGGTGGTCCCGTAGCGCGCCTGGTCCGACATGATGAGCTTGTTCTTCAGGCTGCGCCGCCCGACGCCCTGGGCCCCGATCAGCACCAGGGTTTTCCTGCGGAACGGGGGCATGCGGGCCACCTCCTCGTAGATCAGCAGCTCGTGCCGGTCAAACTCTGGGCAGGAGAAAACAGTCAGCACCGGTCGGGGGACGGGGCAGCATGCAGTGGAAGGGGGAAGGATAATTTTGGGATTCGGAGCAAGATCCGGACTAGGAGGCAGGAGGAGGGGGAAGCCCGCCCAGGGCGTGGGCAGCCTGGGGCCCTCACCTGCATTTTTCGTGGTCAGGTACATCATCCTCTTCTTCTTCTTCCCGCTGATGCTGCCGCACAGGGCACCTGCGGAGAGCAGAACGGACTCGTTCAGCCCGGCGGGAAGCAGATGCTGCCACAGGCAACCCCAGCAAGGATCGGGGTGCTGGCCTGGCTGGAGATATTCCCCGGGTTTGGGGTGTCAGGGCAGTGCCACTGCAAACCCCTAGGAAGGAGCCAGGGTTTGTGGGGGCTCATCACCCCCCTGCGGGCACTGGGCACCAGGCTGGGCGCTGGCCTGGCTCAGGGCCCTGCCGTAGGGGACAGGGAGGGTTTGGGCAGCAGGGCACCCCCGCAGCATTCTGGGGATGGGGAGCAGGGCCCTGCGTGCACTGGGGCTGGCCTGGGGCATCCCTGGGCGCCTCCTACCGGATGTGGGGGGGACTTCGAGGTCGCGCTTCACAAACGCCTTCCGCTTCTCCTCCAGCAGCTGGCTTGGGATGAGGCCGGCGCTGCCGCCCTCCACGTGGCAGGCCTGAAACGGCACCCGGGCATGGTGAGCCAGCCAGGGTCCCCACAGCCACCACCCATCATACGGGGGCCCCTTACGGCCCCCACCCCCAGAGCCCCACGCCGGGGGCCCACCAGGGCCTCCACCCTCTGGAGCACCCCTGCCCTAGGGCCACCCACAGCCCAATTTCCAACCCCCTCCAGGGGCGACCCACAGCCCCATCACCACAG